CAGTCACAAAATGCGACCAGGTCTTCTTGATGCGTTGGCGAGGCGTGAGAGCATCCGCTCGAGTCGCGCACTCCGCCACTATGGAGAGGCAGAAAAGGTTTGTGTTACATCTCTCGAATCAGTGTAAGTGTGTCAACATCCTCCGCTTGAGCGAGATGCGAGTGGTTCCCCGTTGTCGTCAATCAGTCTTCTTCCGCACACATGGTCTCTCCCTCTCGCCCTCTCGCACGCATTCCTCTTGCAGCCTAGTCCCTTCACACCAGTAGCGGCCCAAACTCTCAGACTATGGTGCACGTTTCAGCCCTGTTGCTCGGGTCTGAGACTTTTCCCTCCGAGACACACATGTACATTCGCAAGATTAACGCGCAAGAGAGAGGTCAGCAGCCACCTCTAGCATTGACCTTTCTCATGCGCACTTCGACTCAGCTCTCCGTGACTGAGCTAAGACCCTCAGTCACCCAGCAGGAGTGAGCATCAGTCGAAGAGGTGGGGGAGCAGTTGATGTCAACTGCGGTGGATATGCTCATGCCCAGCTAGCGCGTGCCACTCTCCCCCTCGCTGACCTTTTTTTTTTTACTATGTTCCATGCCTTTTCCTTCTTGCGCAGTCCACGTGTAGACCGTGCACGCGCGTAACCACCTCGCGCTCGCCCATCTCCCCGCGACTCGCCCACACGTGTTGACTTTCCAGAGCGGTTTCTCTCTCACTCACCGCTTGTTACGATCACACACCTCCTTCCTTTGCCTCCCGCCTTTTGTCCCACGCCCTCTAGGACTGTGCTGTCGCGAGCTGGCCTCGGGCCCGCCTTCCATAGGTTGTGCCTGAGGGTGGTTCTTGCGAACCTGGTCCGACCTGTTCCAGGATTGAAGATCGGTCTCCCGGTCATTAGCCTCGCTCTCTGCCTCTGAGTCACGGTCCAGGTGCCGCTGCTCTCGCTCCACGGTGTCCGTCGAGGTTTCAACCTCGTAGTAAGTAATGGTCACCCGAACCTCAGCCGTGACCTCAGCCGTGACCCCATCCCTCTGCATCCTTCTCTTGGCCCGGTTCTTAGATTCCATGATGGCCAAGTGTAGTCTCTGGTCCCCCTTCATTTCCTCCTCTCTCGCTCCCTCTACGGTAACCTTTAGACTCGGCTCATCTCCCCCACTGTCACTCAGGATCCTGGGGCCTTCGCTAGACATAGGAGACCAGCGAGTAGTGTATTTCCAGTAATCCAGCCGGTAGCCGTGCAGGCCATTGCTGCGTGCCATAGCCAGGCTATCAGCAGACGCGGCGCAGTGCCAGATTGCTATCCCAGCACAAAGTGCCACTTAGCGCACACTAAACACTACCCAACCGGTAGCGTGCTACGCCCCCTTTTCTCAGAGAAACAAGAGCACGCCCCTTACTTGCAGGCCTCTCCTCCCTTCCTTTATAGAATCGTTGTTTGCCAAGATCCTTGTGCTCTCAATGAAGGACCCAAACTAATTCCCTTTAAACCTTTTTAAAATTAAAGAAACTTTAAATTTTTTATAGATGATGAAATAAATCAGAATTAAGTGATTATGGAAACGCTCAAGTCTATAACCCAACGGTCGGCCCGGTCTAAACCTCACGCCACCATCAATCCCAGATCTCAGTGACAGGACTGCGGATTCGACACCGGTCCCATAACGAGATATCGACAGCCGCTCTTGGCTCTTCAAAATGAACCGCCGGCCTATCTCTATCGGGTACCCGTGTCCGATGGCAAGGAGGGGGCTTATGACCCTCCATGGGGGGTTATAGGCCTCCTACCGATGTGGCCGCGGGTCGCCCCTCTTTTGGGGTCCTATCGTGCGGCGCTCAGTCGGCCAAATCAGACGCAGTGCAATACACGAAGGGTCGGGCTAGCCTAGGCCACTCGAAGTATTAAACAAATTTCGAAACTCGAACCGTTCGGCTTACCGCGAAGTGACAAAAGGATAATATAATAATAATAGTGATAATAGTAATAAAAATAATAGTGATAACAAATTCATAACGCCGCCGCGGCCAAAACCGCTGAATTACCTCAAACTAAAGCCTAAGGTCCAAATCGACCACAGACCCGACACATAGATTCCCTTCACTTTTTATTTTCTTTTCCTTTTGTTGGACTGCTACCCCTGACCCATAACCTGCCAAAAAGGGTGCTCGACGCGCAGTAGAAAAGACTGCGCCAGTCTTTTCACCTTCGCGTCCCAGGGCGAGCCCAGCGGCTACCACGGCCACAGGCCGGTAGTGCTCTGCTGTACAGCAGGGCGCCGAGCCTGCGTGGACCAAAGGAAAGCCCTGTGGCGCACACCTTTTGCAGAGAGCAAGCACCCAGGCCGGTCCATTCCAAGGCACCACCCCGGTTTCTCAGCGTTACCGCGGAGATTAGGCGACAGACTAAGCCACTGCACATCCGAAGCACCGATACCAATCAGGGACTCGACACACAAAGGAGGGCCAGGACACCGCGCCCTCCGACACCGTGTCGTTTCAGCCTGACAGCCTGAAAACAAGGGCCTATAGGCCCTCGGGCTTTAGCCAGAAGCTACCCGGAAACTTCCTGGAAGCTTCCTCAGGCTTTAGCCAGAAGCTACCTGGAAACTTCCGGAAGTTTCCTGAGGGTCTTGCACGTTTGGGCATTGGCAAGGGCAGCCTCCTGGACGGGCCAGCACTATATAAGACTGGCCCGTCCTACAGGCAGGCAGGTAGTTCATAAGGACTGGCCAGGCACTTCACGTGCAGTTTAGGCAGGAGGCAGTAGTCTTCAGGATTCGGCCGCAACACTCTGGAGGGAGCGTTGAAGTAGTAGTAGTAGCGTTAGCCTTAGTCTTCAGGGCTCGACGCAGTAGGTAGCTGTAGTCTCCAGCGCTTGGCGCCACAGCAAGGATAGTACTAGAGAGAGAGAGAGAGATTGGGCGGAGGCCAGAGGTACTTGCCTGCAGCGCCGTTGCTCCAGCTTCGTCTTCTAGGTACCTGCAGCACAGCGCCAACTTCACAGGTTAGTACCTGGCTCGTGACAGAGAGAGAGAGTTCTCCTTCTTCCTCTTCTCAGTCCACCATCTCCCTCTCACCCTCTCCTCATCTGACTTCACTGCATCAGCAGACTACGAGAGAAGAGAGAGAGTGCTTGGTGACATTGGATCCAGACTTGACTTTTGGACTTCAGACATTGCAACGAGGGATTATTTGGGACTCGCGACGAAGACTTGATGTTGACGACATCCCCATCTTCCCTCTCCTCTTCGTCTGATCCCCTCCTCTTCGTCTGTGTATGTCTGGACCTGGCGCTTCCCTTCCTGTGTACAGCGCCAGGCTCCTTCACACTGTGTGATGAGCAAGATGTATGTTTGGTCTACGATGAAACATTGATTGGGCTAGTCATCAATATTCTAGCATTCTTTTTCGCTATCTTGTACTACGTGATAAAGGTCGGTCTTGGTCAGGTCAGGTCTTGTATCTA